TCAGGTACCTTAAAACCGGCCTCGCTCTGAATATCTTCTGTTTATGTGCAGTCTTTTTATTATTAGATAGATTTCAATTTTAGTAGATAGTTCTGCAACAGTAACAGAACTGTACAAATCTCATGTATAAGGAGATACACAGTTTACTGAGACAGATAAACCTCCATAGATTTACAGATGTATATGCACATCACTGACAAATAAAAACTACTGCACCTGTAACTCAATGTGTGATGTGTGCTTTTTTTGCCAGTAAAGAAGATGTAGAGAAGTGTAAACAGAAAGATCTGCTGGAGCAGACAATGTCGGAGATGATTGGCGAGTTCCCTGCATTGCACCGCACCATTGTGGCGGAACGAGACATCTACCTCACGCACACACTCAGACAGGCTGCCCGCTGTGTGGAGGCGCCACCTAATGCTCAGAGTGAGTAATACGTACTGCCACATTATTCAGTGGTTTCCAGCTCCAGTCCTGGGGACCTACTGAACTGCATAGTTTCTATGGTTTCTATTCCCTCCCCAACACACCTGATCCAGCTCATTAGCTAATCATCAAGCTGTTCATGAGTTGGCTCCAGTAGTACAAAATTAGGAGAAGAATTGAAAGGACCAGTCTGCCTCACTTCTTAAAATTATGTAAGAGATTCTGTGGGTTCCTGGAATGGTTGTCAAAAATTACATGGATTATATTATTGGTTTATATTAGTACAGCATGTTTTTGACAATTTTTTTTTGTAAAGGCTCCACATTTTTATTGAAACGTGTGTACTACTACTGATTGTTAGTTGAATTTTGCCCTAACAGTTATTATAGTCCTTCCACTTTCTACTGCTCAAATCATTACTTTCAGTAGTATTGTGGTTATTCAGAATTTAGCTGACAATGGGAAAAATCTGTCAATGTAGTAAAATGTAATTTCTGTACTGAAAATGCCTCGGAAAATTCATGATGCTGATTTTCCTGTTAATAATATTGATTGTTGTCGTTCTTTGTTATTGACTTATAAAGTGTTTGACATGAAAATGTGGCTCAAACTGTAGGTGTACTTTGTTTACCTAGTTGTATGTTTACATTGCTGTATGTAGGCTGTACCTTCATAAGGATGGTCCCCCCCCCCCGTTGTTACCCAGTATTTTTGTTGAATTCATGGCATTTTGGCAATTGTGTTCCCTTGTAGAAGTGCCTGCTGTGGTGGTGGGAGTGGTTGGAATGGGCCATGTTCCTGGTATTGAGAAGAACTGGGACAAAGAGCTCAATATTCATGAGATCATGAGGTGAGCATTTTTTTTTCCTCTGACTAATCAGACCAGTTTTTGACCAATGTCATGCATTTATTACTCCTTGCCACCTGTTTAATACCGTATCCCTTCCATCAGTGTGGCACCACCATCTCGATTTGGCTGGGTGTTGCGGACTGTGTTGAAGGGGGCAGTGCTAGGCGCTCTGGGGTACGCCTGCTACCGTGCTGGAGGAGGTGTGGGGAGGGCCTTACTCTCCCTACCCGCTGTCCAATCGCTGCTGGAGAATTTACGACCGCCCCCTGCCTGACCTCTGTTTTTCAGTAGACCTTCACAAGGAGGATGTTACGCTAAAAATACCAGTGGCCTTAAGTACAGCAGAGGGGCGAGGTAGATAAGAGGGTGGACACAGCCAGCGTCCTCTAAACACAACTGGAATTCAGGCGGTTGGCTTGGAGCAACCTTCTGTCATCTACCCGCTCCCTACTCTGCTCTGTATGCATTCAAACACAGAGCAGTACTGCCAAAGAACTCAGACAGTATTTATCTTTCTTTCTCTTCTGTTTTCCCTCTTTCTTACAATTCAGTACATGACAATACTGTTACAGTACTGTTGTAGTACATGTTTCATCCAAGTGGTTTATATTTTGTACCCACATCTTGAACGATAATGTGGGGGAGATCCGTATTCAGTTGTGCTGAATGGTTTTTAACATGTCGAGTCTGTCAACACAACATTGTAGGTAGCAGGGCAACAAACTAAATATGCAACATAACATTTTTGTTCTTTTCATCAAGGTTTTTAGCCTAGTAACAAAGGCCTGACAGTGCTGCAGTGAGCACTTTTAAAAACGCTACACCAAATTTTCCATTTCTACCACTGAGATATTTAAACTGGGTAGAGTGTATTATGCATTACATAGATTATAATTTTATCACAAATGATTATATTAACATGGTCAGGTAATGCACATCGGAATATGATTTTGACCAAAGTACTTTTATGCTTTTCAGAAAGTATTTCTTTGTGTTATGATTGTGGAGAAAAATATGATATAGAAATGAATGGAGAGTCTGTGAATTCCTTAAGACCCTTTGGCATCCATCTAAATTGGGTCTGTTTGAATGCAGGTATATGTTCAGTTTGGAAGGGAGGGGCGGGGTAATCGATAATTACCTTTTTGTTATTTGTATAAACGACCCAAACGTCAAATCCCAGTTCAGAGAAATTGCCCTCTACTCACTTCATCTTGCCACATCTGCTTGAGGAAAAAATATATATATTTTGCAGTGGCAAATAAACTTGGCTGTATTGCTGAAGCGCTAGTTGCATTGTTTTGAAAATGACACCTGAATGTCTCTGCATTGTTGATTTTCCAAAGATGAAAGTCAGTGATGCAGGGGGACAAGTGAAAAGGGTCTCCATTTCTCAGTATTGAGATTGGACCATAAACTATGCCCATGTCAACTGACAAGTGCCTGCCATTCGATGACCTGGAAAAGGGCTAATAGACAAATGCTGGTTAGTTTTATTTGATCTTTCACCATCTGATCATAATAAATGGGTACTATTTAAACTACAGTCTTCTGTTTCATGTATGCTATTCTCAATTTCAGTCATATATTTTCAGTGTGCAGTTGAGTGGATGGAGCAATATGCATTACTGGATGTGACTAATATTGCAGTATATTTTGTCTTCGGCAGAACAAAAGGAAACCATCGATTTGTGTTTGAAACAGTGCCTCATCTGAGAATATGAGGGCTTGATTACAATTCAGTGGACCAACAGCAAAAAGAGGCTACAAATATACTGACTGATTCTTATTTTCTGATAGAAGCACTTTGTTTTGTGCTTTTAATATATTTGTTACTCTCTCTGCATTTCTAATGTGGAAAAGCCTAAGAACTGTACTTCCAACCTTACTCAGCTTAGATGACTGGTTAAATATTTCCCATTTACATACCATTTTCTTAAATATTCATTTCATTTATGTAGCTATATGAGAACATAATTGGACATTGGTATTAAAAAAACATTGTCAGAGGCATTTTAGTTTGAAGGAATGGACTTAAGTTGACATCCAATTGTAAACATCCCCCCCTCCCTTCCCAAGTTCATAAATTATTTTAAACTGTGATTTATTTACTATGATCTCCAGCTATTATAAATGTTAGAACATGTAAAGATTTAATAAGTGCATTAAGCACTTTGTAATAAAAGTCGTGACTAGAGCAGCAGGACAGTGCATGGACCAGGAAATGGTCATCTGATTAATGGTTTATGGAAATAGAGCAAATTGATGCATTTGAATTGTTTTTCTGGGGTTTGAGGGTCAAAGCTGTTGCTTTTTATCCATTGCTCATACTGGGGCATGCATTTAAAATATTGGCAGACTTTTGTAAGCTTAAAACTGCAAGCATGATTAGAATTTTCAAAAGGCTTGGAAAAAAAGATTTTAAATATTGTGCAGCAAATTTCATATTATTTAAGAGAAAGCTCTCCAAGTGTGCCCTCTATACAATGTGTATATATATATATATATATATATATATATATATATATATATTATATATATATATATATATATAATATATATATATATTATGTAATTTTGCTCATGAATATCGGTACAACTGGTGAATGGAGAATGCAATGCATGCTAAGCCATATGGGTTCTGGGTTCCTCTAACTGGAGTATTAATGGAAGCTTGCATGTTTATCTTAGTCTTTAATTGTTATGCAATAATTTCTTATTGCTGAGGAAGGGACTGTATGTAAATTTGTCTCTAGCTATTTGCACCAGAACCTTCTCGCTAATTGTGATGTAATTGTGATTCATTTTGAGAGGAAAATGCAGGTGCTACAAAGTGTTTCATGACATTTCTTACTGACAGACATAACCCACCTTTCACTCCCTCTCTCTCAAGCCATTAAGGGGCCCATATCCCATATTTTTCTTTTATTTTATTTGTTTCCTCAGGTTCATTATGAATTGTGTATTTTTATGTACCAAAAACACTCATAATTAATTTTTTACATGATCCTTTTCCCACCTCTCTTTATCCCTTAGAATTAAACATAGCTGTTTTTGTTACTGTGCCTTTGAGACTGATAAATGTAAGTGATTTCTGTGATCTCAAAAAGCAGTCCAAACAGAAACACTCCTTATAACTTCAGCATGCCAGCGAGGGGGATAAACTGCTGTAGGTGGATAAATGTAAATGTGCAGGTTTTCAAGACATAACAAAAACAATAAATCCAAAACAGGCTCTTTTTGCAGCTTAGTTTCCTTATGTGGAGACTCTGTGCTGGTGAGTGAACGGTGAACTTTAACAATGTTTACATGGCACATGTTTTATTTAAAAATGCGAAGAAAATTCAGGGTGATAAGATTTTGGCCCTCTAATGATCAGTGTTAGTTTTTTTTTTTTCTTCTTGCAGTCAAAACTAGGCAGCGTTTTATTTGCGTCATTATTACTACAGTCCTAATAAACTGTCATATTGCAGCACTACAATACAACTTAGAAACCCTCAATAAATACTTTCGAACATGGTCTGAGGCTTTATTTGTCCTTTTTTTTTTGCTCTCCAAAATTTGGAATCAGAGTAAATGACATAAACATTGGTTCCGGATGTGGGCATGTAGGGGGAACAAAAACAAAGCAGGACCGGATCTCGGCGGCACGCTAATAAAAGTAACCAGATGAAACCAGCTCTTTTCACGTATTGGGATTAAGCATGAGACAGGCAGCTTGTGAATGGCTGCCAATGCGCTTCGTCTGACACGACCCTCCGTCTGGTATCCCAGCGCTGTTCTGTGCAGGTTTTCTTCCTCGGGAATGGACGGTATGGGAATTGGGTCGAGCCGCTGTCCTCTGGAGCGGCTGCCCTTCGACAACGTCGTGCTGAGGAAGCTCCCTCTGGACCCGTCCGAGGCTCCGGGAGTGAGGACAGTCCGGGGGGCCTGTTTCTCCAGAGTCCAGCCGCAGCCGCTGAAGAACCCGCGGTTCGTGGCCGTGTCCAGCGGGGCTCTGGCGCTGCTGGGCCTCAGCGCGGAGGAGGTGGAGAAGGATTCGCTGGGAGCGGAATATCTGAGCGGGTCTAGACTGATGCCAGGCTCCGAGCCCGCTGCTCACTGCTACTGCGGACACCAGTTCGGTCAGTTTGCTGGGCAACTGGGCGACGGAGCTGCCTGCTACTTGGGGGAGGTGAACGCTCCGGCTGGCCAGAGCCCTGAACTGCTGAAAGAAAACCCCAGTGGACGTTGGGAAATCCAGGTGAAAGGTGCAGGGTTGACTCCTTACTCCAGGTAGGCTTCCTCAGGCACAGGTGCGTAGCTAGAACTTTTAGAATGGGGTGACGCACTGCTAAAAAAAACAAACAAAAAATGGCATAAATAGCATAACTTTATTAAAATTACTACAACACTGCTACTACTACAATTAATAACCTACAACACGACACATATATTCAACTGTAAAAAGAAATTAGCATGATAAATGATTATATCTGACTAATTGTTGATAGTTTATGTATCTAACTTATAGCCTACTTCTTAATGTAACTCACAGAGCAGCACTGCTGAGGTGACTCAGTGTACAATAACTTGCCTGTTTGCTGAGTAAATTAGCCAAACACAGCAGGATATGCAAATGATTAAATGCATCATCACAAAACTGGTTTATAACTATCCTGGTGGCAGATTTTCACCATAACGCATAATTGATGGTTTATTAACGATTAATGACTGACGATGGCCGACTCTCTTACTTTTCATAACTTGGCTGGCCTGAAGCTGGCCATGCCTCATTTCAGGAAGGCACTGGCCACCTCTGGTCACCCCTTGGCTACGCCTCTGCTCAGGGAAGTAAAATAGTGTTTCGAGTAAGAGTGTGAAAACTCTCGAAAGTGTTTAAAAGTCTTTAAAAACTCTAGTGAAGCAGCACCACTTTTTACCACAGCTGCTACCTTATGGTAAAACCTAAAAACTGTCAGAGTGCATCTGATCATGTAACTATCATGGGACTATTACACTGCGCCATACTTTTGAATGTGGTAAAATTTAAAAATACTGAAAACTGCAGAAAAAGCTCATCTTTTCTTTCACAAAAGTGTTGAACAAAAGCAGTGTAGGAAGTCTTCTGGGTTGTACCTGGTTCATACCTTTACAGGGTAAATGACCACGATATTAGAGTAGGCCTTCTGGTTTCACGTCCCCTGCCCAAATCCTAACACATTCGAAAAACATACAAACAAAAATGCACCAACTGCTAAACTCACCTCAGTACTGTGTTTCAAGCAATGTTGCTTGTCCCCTTTCTTATGACAAGTGGTTAACCACACTTGTATCCTTTTCCTCATCTCCTCCTTCAGGCAAGCAGATGGGCGTAAAGTTTTGCGCTCCAGCATCCGTGAGTTTTTGTGCAGTGAAGCAGTCTTTGCCCTTGGCGTGCCCACTACACGGGCTGGTTCCATAGTGACCTCAGACTCGCAGGTCATGAGAGATGTGTTTTACAGCGGCAATCCACGCATGGAGAGATGCTCTGTGGTGTTGCGCATTGCTCCCACCTTTATCAGGTAACCACTGTCTCCCCCAGTTCGTACATGTCAGTTTTTGGTACAAAGCACAATGATGTTCACAGCTGATACAAAAATGATCAAATCAAAGTGTTATTGATTAATTGATTGTTGATAGGCCTTAATCATCTGAGTTTGAGCACACTTTATTGGCTCTTTCCAGGTTTGGTTCTTTCGAGATCTTTAAACAGGCTGATGAGTTTACAGGCCGACAGGGCCCCAGCTATGGACATGATGAGATCAGAACTCAGATGCTGGATTATGTTATTGAAACTTTCTACCCAGAGATTCAGCAGAGCCATTCAGACCCAGTGGAGAGGAACACTGCTTTCTTTAGAGAGGTAGGACATACAGCCATGGTCAAATAAATTCAAAGATTTTAGTTCATCAGAGATTTCATTTTACGGTTTAATCATCACTTCTGATAGTTTTAATGCACTATTTGTAATTTTAACAAGGAACTCCTCCAATGTTTAAAAAATATCTGCATAAGTTGATTGATGCAGTATAAACAATGTCATTCAGACTATTTTGATGTGAAATGGGTCATTATTTAAGAACCTTATCAATGCTGATTTTCTTTACAATTGTGCTGATAGGAACCAGTGGCAGTAATGTCTCCAATGCAAATCTAACTAATTTTGTTTAACAAAATGAGTAGTCAACCTACATATCTACTGAGTTTTTTTATATAATGCTGATAATCAAAAAATTCTATTAAATCTGATATGTTGAATTTTCTTTGTGCACTATTTTGCCTTACAAAAGCATGTTTGTATGTTTTGTCATAAAAAAAGGGCCAAAACCTTATTGCAAAACTATCATAAAGCAATGTTTCAGGAGTCACCCAGCGTTTTTGTAACCATTTCATGTAATAACCTTCTGTGATGTAGCTTTTGGAGACATTAAGCACTTTGGACATCTGGTTATTATCACTGCTGTGAACAGTTATGACTCAGTAAGTTTCTATAGAGCAGAACTTTTCATGTCAAATCACTCAATGATTTTGTTCATATCATAATGATTTATTTAAATAGAAATTTTGAAAAATTGGTGGAATTCCTCGTTAAAGACAACGGCATGTTTTTGATATTAGATTTTTGTTGCTTGGCTGTTGTTGCACTTTTCTTATGGATGTGAATTCTCATTGTCCCCATTAACCTTATTTGGTACTTTGATACTTTGATAAAATAATCATTTTAAAAGTCAGAGGTGTCAGGTCAGATTTCGCTTGACCATGTTAAACGTATTTACATGTTAACATCACACGCACAGGCCCAAAAACAAAGTCCAGCTTGATGTTTAGGTCAAATCCAAAACCACACACTACACTGATCAAGATATGATGACAACAGTAGATAATTCACTTATGTACTTGGAAGACATGCTGTTTGCCAGGTTTTGACTGAGTTCTCTTTGAAAACTTTTTCATCTGCTTGGGAAAGGGGATCCAAAGCACAAATGATGTAACAATATGTTCTTTTGCATGTTGTTTCCACCAGAGAGATCTCTGAAGCCCCAAATCTTATGTAGTGTAGATTTCATTTCTAATGACAGTCCAATAAAAGTAGCACCTGTAACCAGGAGTTTGTTCATGTTATTTACTTTAAGGTAATGCTGAGAACAGCCAGGTTGGTGGCCCAGTGGCAGTGCGTGGGTTTCTGTCATGGAGTCCTTAATACTGATAATATGAGCATTCTGGGGCTCACACTGGACTATGGACCCTTTGGCTTCATGGACCGGTAAGGCCTTACACACACTCACTGCTGTCTTTCTCAGAGATAGCCTGAATGTATCTCAGCTGGACACCTTGTTTCTCAGAAATGCATGTTATAAATGGTAATACTTGCATTGTTGACCCCCATTAAATGTATAGACAGCTTGTAGTTCAAGAACAAAGAGTCAGTGACAAATTTAAAAGCTGTAGTTTGCGTGCATTTGCTCGTTTTTAACAGTTGAGTCATCTTAACTTTTAGCTTTTGGCCTTCAGTGGAGAGCAGTTGTGTTTGGAAAGTACTTGGAAAATAAGGCATCTCAAGGTGTAATCAAGAATGCGCATAATGTGAATTTACTGTCACCACAGAGTTTCTGTTTGAGGCTTTAAAGTGCCTAAATGAGTATGTTATCAGTCAAAAAGAGTACTTATTGCTTTACCTTGTACAGAAGAAATAAGAAGTATTAATGTCTGAAAAGATTTAAGCTAAGCCACATCTAGCGCTCAAAACAACTGATTTTTCTCCTGAATTAATTCTCAAGATACCTCATATCTGCATGAACACAAGTATATCTCAAAATAAACCTTTCCTCATGTGAACTTTCTCCAATAGTAGGCCTTTTTTGACATATGCACTCTTGTATTTATGGTTCATGTAGCCTATTGTACAATACTTAATCTCTATGCTGTTTCTACTATTGAAGTTTCGACCCAGACTTCATCTGTAATGCTTCTGACAATTCCGGCCGCTACTCATACCAAGCCCAGCCAGCCATCTGCCGCTGGAATCTGGCTCGCCTGGCTGAGGCCCTGAGCCCGGATCTGCCATCAGAGCGGGCTCAGGCTGTGCTGGACGAGTACCTGCCCCTCTACAACACTTTCTACTTGCAGAACATGAGGAGAAAGCTGGGCCTGCTGAGAAAGGAAGAACCAGAGGATGAAGTGCTCATCACAGATTTCATGCAGACTATGCACAACACTGGTAGAGTGGAGGCTGAACTTCTACCCACTTTATAAGTATAGTCAATTATTTAAATAATCTTATGATTGAATGACCCTCCTCTACCTCTCTTCTGTCACTGCATTTTCAGGTGCTGATTTCACCAACACTTTCCGCAGTTTGAGCCAGATCTCTTGTCCTGTAGAGGGAGAGGCAGCAGATGATTCTGAGGCTATCAAGCAGGCCACTGAGCTGCTCTTACAGCAGTGTGCCTCTCTACAGGAGTTGAAAGCTGCCAGCAGACCTACTATGGACCCTCGGTAAGGTTTTCTTTCTTTTTTTTTTCCTAACTTCATTTATGCGGGGGTAGAATGGTTTTACAAATCTCACCACCAAGGAAACAGGTGTATTTTGACACATCCTGTGGTTGGCTGTGTTCATCAGTTTGGGAACCTTCTGGTAGAGTGCTCGCTAATCTTTGAATGACATATATGGACTGAATAAATAGTCCTTCCCTGATTTAGAAAGTGTTGTTAATTTAAATCTGCATTAGATCTGCCAAGAGGAAATCGCATTTGTTTCAGAAACATTCGCTGTAATGTTTCCAAACCCAATATACAAATTGTTTACAATTTTTTTTTATTTATTTATTTATTAAACAAACCAGTTCTCTTTGCACACTCTTGCTTTCCCATAGTGAGTTAGCAATGCTGCTGTCGATGGCCCAGAGCAACCCCGCGCTCTTCAACATTTTGTCAGATCGGAAGACGGTAGCCCGGCAGCTAGAGAAGCTCTCTAGACTGAAAGAACTGTTGGAAACCACAGAGGAGGAGCTGAAGGCCAAGCAGACAGAGGACTGGGCCTGCTGGATCAAACAGTACAGGTGCAGTCAGGGATGAAGTACTTTACCTACGATCAGCTAGAGCAAAGCTGGTGCTAGGCAACAAGCAAATGTTTGAAAGCCCAGATGATAAAAGACACAGGGGCTTCATTACTTTTAACAGATGGTAGAAAGCCAAAACAAACATGTTACAGAGCTTGTGGTCAGTCCCTTGAAAATACTTGGAAATGCTGTCTCATAGGTCCTTTGCTTTTTACCAAAGAGAAATGTATTTATAAATAAATATTTACATGCCTGTGTTTGACTCCAGGCAGCGTCTTGCTTGTGAGTGTGAGGGAGCAAGTGACGTTAAGATGGTGCAGGAGGAGAGAGTGCGGGTGATGGACAGCACCAATCCACGTGTGGTGCTCCGGAACTACATTGCCCAGAATGCTATAGAGGCAGCAGAGAATGGCGACTTCTCTGAGGTTAAACGTTCATCAGTTTAATTTTCACCAATTGATACAAGGGGAATTTCCCTAATTTAAAAATTATCGTTCAGAGTGGTTTAATGTGAAAAGGTGCATTGTAGAGAAACTTACCGACTGATTTATTTACAGTGGTGATGATGGGAACTAGGGGTTTCAGTGCCAACAGCATAAATCTAGCAATTTTTTTCCTATTCAAAGCAAACAGTGAACCCATGCGTGCCTTCTGAGGGTTTGATATGTATTGTTGAAAATGGCAAAATAGCATGTACCCTGCATGTACCTCTCCACCATGAATGGTTTTTAAAAAGTATGTTTTAGGCCAAAACTTTGTCTCAAAACTATTGAAAAATAATGGCTTAGACATCAGGCTACATATTTGTAACAATTTCATATAATAATTTTCTGTGAAGTAGCTATTAGAGGTATTGAATGCTTTGGGCACCTAGTTCAAAATCACCACCATGGAAAACATTTCTGACTCTAAGTTTCTCTAGAATGGCTTATTTCACATGAAAAATCTCTGGGCTGAGTGTTACACTGAACACAATCTCTACCAGTTACAATGATCCTAACACTGATTTTGCACTGTTTTGGGAAACTTGACTCTGAATGGCTGTTTTCACCATAAGGAAGTGTTTAAAAAATCAGTGGAATTCCCCTTTAAGCATTAATAAAAAGTGAAGTGTAACACTGACATATTCATTTAAATGTAATATATAATGTTAATTTGTTTGTAATATTGTTTTAAAAAGAAAACAAAAACTCTCATCTCTTCCATCAGGTTCAAAGAGTTCTGAAAGTATTGGAGAAGCCATTCTGTGTGCAGGAAGGCTTAGAGCAGCCAGGCTGGGTGGGAAGGGGAGGAGTGGAAGAGCCAGGAGAGAGGGATGAAGGAGAGCAAGGAGAGCCTGAGGAGGATGGTAGAGGTGCGGAGAGCCGAGTGTTTGTTCCTTATGACAGCAAGCCACCAGCCTGGGCCAATGAAATCTGTGTTACCTGATCCTCCTAGGGCCTTCAGCGTGAGCTACTCGCCCACATATATAGAGGAAGCGGAAGGGTTCTCTTCTCTATGGGCTGGGTAGATGTTGCTGAAGGCTAGTGAGGTACTGAGCTCCTGTCAACCAGTTTTAAAATATAGGAAGGTATTATTAAAAAGATTAATAGTATATAATATTTTAAGGGTTTGCAGCCTATGATGACTTGTGTCCAGAAAATGGCATATTCAGAATTTGAACTGAACATATTTAGTTATGTGTATCTATGCATATTTAACTGGTTATAAATGATGACTTGGACTACCAGTCTTTAAAAGACAGGTCTCAGTCTGAAAGGCAGGGGTTGTAGTACAGTACAAACCAAAGTAAATTAGTGTGTGTGTGTGTGTGTGTGTGAGTGAGTGTGAGAGAGTGTGTGTGTGTGTGTGTGTGTGTGTGTGTGTGTGTGTGTGAGAGTGTGTGTGTTTTTGAGAGAGAGAATCTTAATGTCTCAACGCACAAATTAGTGAGCAGTAAAGCTCTAAGGTTTAAGCGCACAATTTGTTTTGCTTAAAGATATTAATCTCATACTACAGCTGTAGTATTCTTATGCAATGATTTATTACTAAGGTCTTATAACAATACGCACAAGAGCTTATGTTGGAAAATTGATAAGGTTTTCGCAGCTTGTTTTGCAACACAAATAGAACACATGCCAGAGCACATACATGTAAAGAGGACCATTCTGGAACTGGTGTTTTAAAAAAATAATTCAAAGCAAGCACAATGAAAGTAGTGTAATGAAAGAGTCACAATGAAGGTAAACAGTTGTTTAGAAATAAAACTCTGCCAAAGCAATTGCTGTCAGTGTCCTGTGAGTTCTGTGCAATGAATTTTATATATATATATATATATATATATATATATATATATATATATATATATATATATATATATATATATATATATATATATGTATGTGTGTGTGTGTGTGTGTGTGTGTGTGTATTTTTTTTTTCTTTTTGAATGTTAAAATCAGCAAATAACTACAAGTTGGGCTCTATGATTTGTAGAAAATGTAATATTTAAGTTTTTCTGTAGAAGATATGTTAACTTATTTTCACTTAGAAAATCAACAAAACATCCAGGGCTCTTCAAGCTTTTGCATACTGCTATACATTTACTAAGATACAGCATGGTGGCTTTTAGTGTTGTCTGCCTGGGTGCACTGGTGCTGTTTAGAAAGAACTACTCAGCGTTTAAGAGGAAAGAAAGACAATCTCTGAGTTGGTGAACCTTTTTAAGTGAAAGTCATCTTAAATGTGGTAAAACCACTTTTGGGAAGAGCCTGAGTTCTAAAGAAAACTTTCTTTGGAAGTAGTTCTCACTTGACGCAGAGGAATGTCTGTGCCCTGGGGCCTGTGAGTAAGTAACATGTTACCACAAGTCTCCTGGAGCACAACGCGGGTTGAAAAAAGATTGGAAATGGAGCATCTGTAAATATATTGCCTTCTTGTTTTTCCTGAGAAAAAGAAGGTGAAGGGCAGGGATGAGCGGACTGATACTAAAGTGTATATGTATTTCCAAATCTTCATCTGTCAAAATATCCATACCAATTGTTTTCTTTAACCAGTCATTTTAATATATATTTTGAATTAAATTCAATATGGATTTGATGCTGAAAGTTAGAGCTGAAGTTACTTGTAGCACATTATAAGTGTAGAATAGCAAACACTGCTGCCCATTGTACACACCATGTATTATCCAGGTATACAGTGATAGGCCTAATCCTAATAATTTCACAACCTTTATTACAATAATATGTTGATAAATATCTGCATACTGACCTAAATTTGACAGCTTAGTTCATATGGGAAAAGCTTTTAAATATATTTTATTGACTGTGCATTTAGGTGAAACCCATTGTTGAAATCACAAATATTTCACATTTTTACAATTTTAAAAAGATTTTTTAAGTATCGGTAGTGACGCCAGCCTTCATATTACTTGGTATCGAATCTAAAGGAAATCGATGGTATCGCCCATATCGCAATAGTCTTTTTTTTTCCCTGAGACGGTGACGTATACGCCCTGCCTGCCTGACAGTGCAGCGCTGCTGCTGGGAGCGGCTTCAGAGCTGCTCAGGTACACTCGGCTTAGAGAGGTGTGTTTACTCAGACACCTCCAAATCACGGCTGCTGGGACTGAAGCGGGACTTTGCGTGGAAGTAACGTTTCCAAAACGATGACCAGCCGATCAAGACCTGGCTATTATCGCCAGGAGGTGAATAAAACAGTGTGGGAAGTACCTGAACGCTACAGAGACTTGAGGCAGGTGGGGACGGGGGCGTATGGTACAGTATGGTGAGTGCGATTTCTCAGGACACTAGACTCGTGTAGCAGCAGCCAGACGCCATATTAATGCGTCCAGTTGTCGAAAAACTTCATTGTCGTAATCGAGAGGATGTAGAAACCAGTCGAGGAACGTATGGCTTGCGTGACACTGTATTTCTAAAGGGGTTTAGCGTGCTGTGCAGTGTGTACTTATTTCCTGTTTCGGTTCTGAGGTCTAGGCCGAGGTCACAGTAAACCTGCTGCTATTAACCGCGATCAGAAAAGGAATATGAAGCGAGGCACAGGAAGTGCCAAAGTATTAGATTCAGAGAACGTACTGGTGCATTAGGGTTCCTTTTGGTGTTTTGTGGCTAAACCAGGTCAACGAATAGTCAGATACTAGTTTAACAGTGTGAACATTCTGCCATGTATTTCTCTTTCTTTTTTAACTGTGCGACGGATCTCCTGAGTTTGAAACCTGTCATAATACCCGTATAAAGAGCTCAAGCTGCAGAGAAACAACAAAAAAGCCAGTGGTACACTAAAGACCCCCACCCACCCACCCCCGTCCCTCCTGCATGTACAGCCTCTACTCTGCTGAGAAGGCTTAGACTATATGGTGGAACGTGGCTGAAAGGATTTTATAGCATTCAGCAACAATAGCATTAGAGAGGTCAGGTAAAGATGTTGGATGATCAGTTCTGGATCACAGACACTACTCCAACTCATTCTGAAGATAGTGATGGAGCTCCTTCACTCCAGAGAACACAGTTCCACTGCTCCACAGCCCAATGCTAGGTAGCTTCATACCTAGCTAATTCTTGGCACTGGGGTATGGAGACCTTAGGCTCATGTGCTGCTGCTCCAGAGTGTCTCATTCTGTTAGCAGTGCTTTTCTATTGAGATTATAAAAGAAATGTGTGTGTAGTAAATGCAAGTGTCAACAATAAGTGCCTTAAAGTAGCTCAATTCCGTAATTAGAAGAGGTATCTACTTATTTTTGGACATACAGTGTATTTAAACATTTTCTAGGGCTTGTATAATCTGGTCCTTGGTTGTCGGCCTTGATGAGAAACTGAACATTTCTCGGGCTGTTTGGGTTTTACACAGAGCCCATCTTTTAACGATAAGTTAAGTGCACTTATTTAATCTGTGTATCTGGAAATTAGTATTCAGTACATCTGAAATGTGCTTAATATTTAACTTGATTTTACAAATGTGTGCAAAATTTATAATTCCATGAGATGTTCCTTCTCTAGTTATTCTATGGACCGGAAAACAGGGTTAAAGGTGGCCATCAAGAAGCTCCATCGTCCATTCCAGTCAGAACTTTTTGCCAAGAGGGCCTACCGAGAACTCCGACTGCTCAAACACATGAAGCATGACAACGTAAGAAATACTAAACACTGTCTCATGCACAATGATCACTCTCTGTGTTTTGCTTCAAAGGGAAATTCCACCAATGTTTCTAGTATGTGATCATTAAAATGTAAATAATGGAATTCAGAGTGATTTGATGTTAAATGCTCTGTTTTAGAGAAACTTGCTGTGTCATAGTTGTTCACAGTGGTGGCGATTGGAACCCAACGTCTGTTTTATGGCTTTAAAAGTATCTTCACAAAAGGCTATTAGACAAAAGTTTATAGATATGTTGCTGATGCTTGAGACATTGTTTTGCACTAATTTTGAGATAATCTTTTGGCCAACACAATTTTTTTAAATTCATTCATAGTGGAGAGGTACATGTTGGCATGGCAAGGCAAAATAGCACCCAAAGAAAGCTTGTTTTTCAGATTTACCAGTAGATTAGCATTATCAACATTACAAAACTGAAAAACGTTTGGATGGCAAATGAAATGGCAATATTTGTGTCGTTGGCATGGTGGCTGCTGGTTTATATTGCCACCAGTATAAAGAAAATCTGAGGCTATGAGTTTCTCTACAGTGTACCATTTCACAACAAACCCCTGTGAATGACTCAACAATTGAGCTGTCCAGAAATTCTGAAAACTTGGTGCAATTCCTATTTAATAGCCAAGAGTGTGGTTAAGGGTGGGTGTTGTGGCAAAGTTGAAACCTCATGAAAGTTTTTCATGATATGACATATATTGGGTTTTTACGATTTGATAAGTTGGAACAGAAAAAAGAGATACTGGTGCCACTTTTAAAAATAATAATGTCAACATTATCAACACAATGATTTTTTTTTATTTACTGTGTCATATATTGGACCGACTATGCAGTCTTTTTAATGAAAAATGCAGTTGTTCAGTGTTCTTTAAGTACTAACGATGGCTCAGAAAAGCAGATTTTGATGTATTTTATCAAGATAAAGACAGATATTGCCATGTTGCCCAACCCTAGGTTCAGAACCCTTTAAACTTGTTTCACTTTCCTCTGCTGGCTTTAGGTTATTGGACTCCTGGATGTTTTCACTGCAGACCTATCATTGGACAGATTCCAAGACTTGTGAGCTAATACTTATTTTCTCTGTTGAATGTTGATCATCTTATTTGTTGTATCTTGTTTGACTTGTCTGATGTACTTTGAATTTCCAAAGAAATTCACTGAAACCATCATGCAGTTTATTATTTTACTAAACTTATTTGTCCCTGAAATGTCTTTTAATCATTGATGCCCTTTGCATATGTTTCAAAAGCAGATAAGCAAGTCAATTATTATTATTTCATTTTTGGGAAATATACGTTTACTTTTTTGCTAACAATACAAATCCATTTAATAGCAAATACCCTGACTAGTCTGCAGAAATCTAAACAGTCACTTGTTTTGGTGCTTGCATATTCATACCTGTCTCTGTGTTTCACAGTTACCTAGTGATGCCATTTATGGGTACTGATCTTGGGAAACTGATGAAAACACAAAAGCTTACAGAAGACAGAATTCAGTATCTGGTCTACCAGATGTTGAGAGGGCTTAAGGTGTGTGTCTTATGCTTACAGTCATATGCAAAAGTTTGAGTATGTCCAGTCAAATGACACGTTTTGTTGGTGAAAATAAGTTAACACCTTCTTTGCAGGGAAAAAACTTAAATATGGCATTTTTATGCGAATGTTCTATTTGTCTGCTGAGTTTAACATATTGGAAGAATAAAATACAATATAAAATATACCATAACTTTTGCACAGGTGTGATTTTATATATATTATATTATATATTGTTTAGGGTTTTTTTTTATTCAGCAAATAAACAGTAATTATCAAATAAATTGTGCAGAAGTATGTTGTCCATAGAAGATGTGTGCATATTTTCACTTGAAACGTTAACAAAAAGTGAGCTAATATGTGAGCTTTAGCACACAATTGTATATGTACATACAGTCTCACTCATATACAGGCTTATGAACAATATCTCTTCTTGTTCACAGTATATCCACTCAGCTGGTATTATTCATAGGGTAAGCCACATATATTTACCTAAACCACTACATATCACTGACTTGATTATGCACTTTTACTCACTGCTCATTTTTCTAACTCATAGGACCTGAAGCCAGGCAATTTAGCCATCG